GACAGAGAAAAGGAAAGTAATGCTATACGCATAAACGACCGCATGAGTATATATGTATAAAGTATACACTCGTCCCTCCACATTTGCGGATTTGATTATTCACGGATTTGATTAATATGTTCTCTCTAGAAATATTTAGGATGGTCCTCCAGCGTGACTCTCTGGTCAATTTTAAACAAAAGTGGCATTGAAGGACCTAGAGATTCCTAGAGAGGTGTTCTCTCAGGTAAAAACCGAGTTTTGGGTTTTGTTTTTTTTTTTGTGTTTTTTCCACATTCACAGGGATCCTGTGCCCCTAACCCTAGGGAATGTGGAGGGATGTGTGTGTGTGTATAATGGTATATATATTCATACATACACACATATATCTATATATGTATATGGGAGCCAGCATGGTGTAGTCACTGTAGTGGTTTGAGCATTGGACTATGACTCTGGAGACCAGGGTTTGAATTCTGGCTCAGGCATGTGAACACAATGAGTGACCTTGGGCAAATCATGCTTTCTCAGTCTCAGAGGATGGCAGTGGCCAAAGCAAACTCCCTCTGAAGAAACTTACCAAGAAAACCTCATGATAGGGTTGACTTGGGATCTCCATAAGTCAGACACAACTTGAAGGCACATGACAGCAACACACACACAGGCACACACATATACAAATGTGCACATATATATATATATATCTATATTCAGAGCATAGCCATGTTAGTCTGGGAAATAAGTATGCAAAGGGATCTTGTAGCACCTTGAGACTAACTGAAAGAGAGAAGTTGGGAGCATACGTTTTCATAGACTTGAACCTGCTTGCATCTAAGGAAGTAGGCTCAAATCCACAAAAGCTCATGCTGCTAATTTCTGGTACTAAGAGATCTCTTTTTATATATTGTGTGCCTTCAAGTCATTTGAGTCAGTTATAATACTGATATTAAACCATTAGTTAAAAAGTAGCATCATTCAAACTTCAGTTTTAACTTTAGCTTTATGTATTAAAACTAGACTAAAATTACGCATCATAGTAAACACCATACAGATTGCATAAGAAAACCCTGTGAAATTCATTGGGTTGCCCCAAGTCAAGAGACAACTTGAAGGCACATGCACACACAGAGGTGTCAAAATAAGCAAAGAGGTCTTTATTCCTTCAAATAATGCTCCCAGAAAGGAAAGACTTTGTTTATTCCCCCCAAAGGGTCTACCTACAGAGGGCCTTCCCACAGCATCAGTATTTTCCCATTTCCGCAGGGATTCCTGTTAAGTTTCAATCCCTGATGTTTCTAAGATTAGTTGATTCATATCTTTGCAACAATGAGTTCTAGAAGATTGGTTAATCGATGTGGAAATTTTCAAGTTGTTGATTTGGGCACCCATAACCAAATTCATCCTTTGGATCCTGCACATGTGGTGTCAGTTTCCATCAGCCAAATAAGTATTCATTTCAAGGAAGATGGGCACTGAATGGACTGTAAAGCCAATAGTGCTTTACTGATTTTGAGGTGACTCAGGTCTGCTTTGTTACAGTACTATTACCCATTTTTGAAGGGTGAAATGTAAATGTTATGCGCAAAGCACTTATTGTTCTGTTGCTAGGATCTGCATGGTTAGAAAATGCAAGAACATTGAAAACATTTATGTTGGTTGAACCATGTCTGTCTGGAGAGTTGCTCTTGCACAAAAACTGACTTGTAGAATCCAAATGGCTGGAGAAGAATTTTAAAAAGACATGTTTGCTGCAGTTTGGTCCCTTTTTAGTTCATCAGTAACTGAGCAAGAATCATTTTGTGGTCCACCATCAGATCAGCAAACATTGAGGTCTCATCTTTTTAAGATAATCATGCTGTTACAATGATACTAGGTAATCATTTTTCTTGACAGAATTAAGTTTAAAATCAATGCTTGTGATGCTTGGTTGACTGTACTTTCTTGTTTTGGTCTTTTCTGGTTGTATTGATATATTGTTGCTGTTTATTGTCATAAATTACATTTTCTAAAAAGGTTAATTTCTTAAAATAGACCACTTTGTTGACACCAAAACAACATTTGAGCTTGACACAGTCTTTGTTGTGGTACCAGAGACATACGAATTGTTTACTGTGGTGTTCTCCTCTGCCATGTGGCATGCTGCCATGTGAGTGAGTGCCCACAGGATCCGAGGAGAGAGTCCCGCAATGGAGAAAACAAATTTATTTGCTGCTTTGCAGGGACAGCCAAATTACTGGCAGTGTGCTTGGCATGCCCATGGACTGCGGCATCTCTGAGAACGCAGAGCCATGACTGCTTCTACTTTCCCTGCCACCAAAGGTCCCTGCCACCACCCTGATGGGGGGAAAGTGGAATTCCTTGTGGGAAAATTTCTCCTATTTGGATATGGGAAGAGTTTGTCCTTCCCAGTTTGTCCTTCCCAGTTTAATTTTGAACTGCGTGGCACACTCCTGATCATGCAGATTTTTGCTTGGATACAATATGAATGCAGTTCCCCTCCAGATGGCACACACTGGGTGACTTGCTGTCTCTCTTCACTTGGTTCTTTGTCTTTCTGCCTGCAGCCCAAGATGGGTAGGGTGAGGATGGTGTCTCTTGACTTTTTAAAAGCTGTTTTTAATACATCCACATTCCCTCTGGTGCTTGTCAGAGCATCATGAAGAGGGGGGAGGTACCCATTTTCAGCTGCTCATCCATCAGCAAATACTCTGTCAACAGCAAACCCTTTTGTGTGCCACACATCCAAACTGGGATTAACTGCAGCTTGGCAGCTGGTGGCCAGTGCCCAGCTGGATGTGCCAGCCAACCGTCTCTTACATTCTGCATCCCCCTCTCCTCCCTGTCATGAATGCATCATGTGGCTGTATGCCAAAGGCAGGCTTTTGTTTCTTACCAGCATTCCCCCCCATACTGTCAGTGAGAAACTAGCATGATGAGGATGGGGGTTTGCTGACAACATTTGCCTGGGTCATGTACTTTTCCACCTTTGTTATTGGCACCGCCACCTCTTTTTATCATGTACTATGAATTTTACAGACTTCATCACAGGATTGATCAGCTGGTTGCTGTGGTGATTCAGAGCTCCAGTCAACAAATAAGGATTTAGAGCCCTAGAAAGCAGTTTTGTCAAGCAAGTGAAGGGATGGGTGGGCCAATGCTGTTCTCTCCAGTACAGTAGCGATGATGATGATGATGATGATGATGATGATGATGATGATGATGATGATGATGGGATCATGGTGTAGAGGTTTGAGCATTGGACTAGGATACAGGAACCAGGGTTCAGATCCCCAATTGACAATTGAAACCCACTGGGTGACCTTGGGGAAGTCACACTCAATCAGCCTCAGAAGCATGCAAAAACAAATCCCCTCTGAACCAGTCTTGCCATAAAAACACCATTATAGAGTTGACTTAGGGTAGTCATAAGGTGGAAATTACTTGAAGGCACATAACAACAAAAAGATCATGGTGTAGTGGTTTTAGTATTGGACTAGGTCTCCAGGAGGCCAGGGCTCAAATTCCCTGCTTGGCCACAGAAACCCATTGGGTGACCTTAAATGTTGCATTCTCTCAGCCTCATAGAAGGGCAATGACAGGTCCTCTCTGAACAAATCATGCCAAGATTACCCCATTATAGGGTTGCCATAAGTGGAGAATGACTTGAAAATACAGAACAACAATTATCATCTCACCTTTTTTCTCAGTCTGGGACTCACTCAAGGCAGCTTATAAAGGTTAGAACAGACAGCTTTAAAATTGGTAACATGCAAATATTAAAAAGTAGAATTAAACTAACAATAGAATTAAAATAGTTGAAAGGTTACAATTTTTAAAAATGAGCTGTATACAATGGGCCCTTGTTATATGCTGGGGTTTGGTTCCAGGAAACCACCCCCCACTCCCCCGTGGATAACAAAATCTGTAGATGTTCAAGTCCCATTAAATACAGTGGCAAAGTAAAATTGTGCCCCTTATATAAAATGGCAAAATCAAGGCTTGTTACTTGGAATTTTTACTTTAAAAAAAATATTTTCAAGACGTGGATGCTTGAATATATGGATAAGGAGGGCTGACTGTAGATGCACCACCTGTAGGTTCAGTTGCCACAGACACTGCTGAGATGTAGGTTGGCAACTATAGAGGGCCAGGAAGCTCCTTTTAACACAGTCATATTAGACAAAAGGCATTCTGTTGTTGACCCTGGCTTCTGTTTACATGACACAGCCTTTGCCTTGAGTATCAACTGCTCAGCCTACCTCTCTCACCATAGGATTCAAGTGTCACTATTTATCTTATATGTACATTGCAACGCAGAAAATTGTGAGAACTGATTAAAAATTGTTCATAACAATGAAATAACCATACAAGTTTCTACAAGTCACTAGTGTAGATTGGTGTTCAGTAACTGCTATGCTTAATCTTGATGAAGGCAGTGACATTGTCACTTGTCTGCGAGAATTATACCTTTCCTCCCTTCTAATGGACTCTTTTTGTCCTGAACAGTGTAAGTTGGAACTGGTTGTGGGCAGCCCAGCATCATGCATGGACCTCGAGCTCTACACTGTGGACGACAAGTTTGTGATGAAGCTGGACAGCGATGAGGCCTTGCTGGGATCTTACCCCATTGATGATGGATGCAGGATTCATGTGAGTGCTGTGCTGTATTGGTTTAAAAGAGAGCAAATTCTGATAAAATAATATCCATATAAAGCTATTAATGTTTTTGAATATAATATTTAAAACCAACATACTGAACCAGATAATGTTATTCACCAGTGACATGACAATATGCTAACTACTGCTCTTCTGTATTTTTAACAAATAAAATACCAGTTACATGAGTTCTCTTTGGATCTGTAGGTTATTGACAGAAGTGGTGCAACTATTGGGGAATATGAAGATTTATCACGGGTGGAGAAATTTGAGCTACCTGATACTGAATATGACAAGAGAACAGGTGAGGACAGATGGGAGCATCATCATGAAAGTATGATTGCAAGAGAAATGTTATCTTATCC